ACAGCAGCACACTGACACGGGGAGGCCACGTGGGGCTACGATCTCCCGGTTTCTTCTAAGCATGAAGTTATGTCCAAGCAAAACATGCAAAGAGCAAATTCTGCGGGCCTAGAATGTGCCATCCGATGTCTCAACGTGTCACAGAGGCCTCAGCCCAGAACCTTCTGTCAGTGGCTGCCTCACCAGCTCACCGCCTCCCAGCTTGCTCCTCGCTGGTTCCCACGGCTGGACCTCCCCTTCCTGGGAAAATGCTCCACGGTGTCCCCCCCTCCGCCCCAAACTCCTGCACCCCACACACCTCTTATCCTCAAACCAAGGAGTGGCTCGGAGGACAAAAGGTTTCTGCCACAGGAGATGCTTTCCTGGGAGACAGCAGAGTGGCAAAGAGAAGCGCCTGAGTTTACAATTAAGAACAAAGACACATGGAGTCTCCCTTTGTCTGACTCCCTAGGGTGCCTTCCCATCACCGTGGGATGGCTATGAAGTGTCCCCAAAGACCCAGGGCTACAGACTTGGTCCCTGGACGGTGGTCCTGCGAGCTGATGGAAGTTGGGACTACTGGGATCTGGTGGAAGCCTGTTGAGCTCCTGGGGAGACCTGTGGGCCCCAGTCTCTCTCTGCTCCGCTGCTACTGTGCACGCTGACGGGACAGCCAGGGGCCCTCATGCAGCCCTGGGACCCCCAGTGCTGAGCGCTCACCACACAAGGTGCAGCAATATTGCCCCCCAGGAGCACAAAGCCCACTGACACACTCCCAGCATCGCTCAAGTTTTACAAACAATAAAAGCTAGAGAACAAGGTCTACAGAGAAATTTCCATTCTGAAGAAAATGTATGAGGGCAGCACAAAAAGTTCTTGCAAATCCGGCAGTCTCTTCCCACGCCCTTCCTACACGGAGCTTCCAGCGCACCCTTGTAAGAAGGAAGTCCCTGGGGCCCAGCAGCACAGCCTCGTGGCTAAAGTCCTCACCCTGGGTGCGCCAGGATCCCATATGCGCGTCGGTTCTAATCGCAGCAGCTCCACTTCCCAACCAACTCCCTGCTTGTAGCCTGGGAAAGCAGTCCAGGGCAGCCCAAAGCCTTGGGACCCTGCACCCACGTGGGAGACCAGAAAGAAGTTCCTGGCTCCTGGCTCGGATCGACACAGCACCGGCCATTGTGGTCAATTGGGGAGTGAATCATCAGATAGAAGATCTTCCTCTCTGTCTCTCCTCCTCTCTGTATATCTGACTTTGTAATGAAAATAAATCTTTAAAAAAAAAAAAAAAAGAATAAAGTCCCTGGATAAAAGGAGGACCAGCACACCAACAGCAACCTTAAAGGGAAAAAATCAGCTCTGCCCAGTGACAAACCTGCAGGCGTCCCGGCAGCTCCCTGGGCAGGCAGGAATGAGGGCAGCTCCCTGGGCAGGCAGGACTGAGGGCAGCCCACTGGGCAGGCAGGATCGGGGGGACATGGGCACCCAAGCAGCCCCCTGGGCAGGCAGGATCGGGGGGACGTGGCACTTGGGCAGCTCCCTGGGCAGGCAGGATCGGGGGGACGTGGGCACCCAGAGAAAAGGATGGGCCTGGCCGGCCACAGGCTTCCACTCCAGGAGCAGCCCCAGCTGGCAGGCCTGGGCACCACAAGGCCACACAAGGGCATTCGTGTTCCTTTCCACAATGTGCCACACAGCGTCTGGCACAGCAACGCCTTCCTTCAGGCTAACATTCAGGCTGCCTGCGGCCCCTCCTTCTGCAGGGTCTCAGCCAAGCCCCCGGGCTCTCTCAGAGTCACTCTCCCCAATGGGTCTGCCTGGTTCCTGGACCCCGCACTTCCTGTCTCCTCTTTCTTTAACTAACACATAATCACTATTCACCTTCATGGGGGATGCCATGACCCTCAGGTTGCAACCACGATGGGTACAAGCACACACGGGGATACTCCAAGGGGGCAATTCATCTTTCCATCTCATCATCCCTTAAAGCATGGCACAGCCCAGCTCAGCAAGGCCCTTCCAAGGATTATTCATCTTGGCCCGGAGGGGAGGGCAGGGAGAAAAGCGACACAGGTGGCAAGCAGGTGACAAAGAACAGAGCTGCCCCTGGACCTGACACCTGCAGGGGCAGCCAAAACCAGCGACAGAGGAGCTAAATGCAAACTTGGGTAGGAGGGCATGCTGCTTTGAAATAACAAAAGAGAAATAAGCGGGCGCAGCCCCACCAGAACTACCAAGTTGTAAGCCCAAGCAAGGTCTCCTTCGCTTCCCAACCTGCAAAGGGAGACCCTCTCCTTGAGCAGCATCCCAGCCACCTGCTTCTGCACCCTTAGACCTCCAGCACCTTCCCTAGGGGATCCTGCCAAACCCACCAGTCTGAGCAGGCCACACCTAGGCGCCCTTCTCTAGAAAATCACCTGCACCCAGCCCAACCCAGGGATGTCTTGACTGGTCCAGGGCCAGCATGTGACCGAAAGCAGCTACCCACCGACCAATCAGCAAGCCTGTGGGTGTGGTCTGAGCCAGCAAGCCACACCCACCAAAACCGCCTGGTGATCACCTGACTGCTCTCGGACCTTTTAGAGCTGTCCTGTGCCAGGAAACTGGGCCAACATCATTCAACTCGCACCATAAACTGAGCAACAGACCCTCCGTCATGTAATGCCAGCCACCAGCTGGGTCTCTCCATAGACAGTTTAAGGACAAAGGAATTCACCAGGTGGGTTCTGAAGACAGACACACCATCCAGTCAAGAGATGGGCCAGAGCAGGTGGGAGAGTGGTTGAGAGCACTCCCAGGGACACGGGGCCAGACCAGGGAGGGCAATGCATCCCATCAATGATGGCGGCAAAGGGGCCCGTGCACGACTGGGGAGGAACTCCAACCACCAGGCTCCAGGCAAAAATCCACTGCCCTGGGCCACTCTGGACACAGCTTCCCCAGTGCCAGGGGGCCAAGGACAACTCAAGGCCAGTGTCACCACAGGCCTCTGTTCCCACCCTGACCAGGGCCAACCTCCCAGAGCCTTCGGACCCTGCACCCACTTTTGAGATCCTTAAGAGGCTCTGGGCTCCTGGCTTCAGGTTGGTGCAGCCCTGGACATTGTGGTCACTTGGGAAGTGAATCAAAGGACTGAAGATCTTCCTCCCTGTCTCTCCTCCTCTCTGTATATCCACCTTTTCAATAAAAATAAAACAAATCTTAAAAAAATAACAATAAAACTTTAAAACAAACAAAAAATTAGATGAGGTTAAAGATGAAGTCGGAGACGGCGAAGCACCCACATGAACTTGAAAGGACAGAGTCCACTATCTGTGCCCTGACTGAAGCCCAACAGGTCCCAGCACGAGCGAAGCCAGCCCGGCCAGCACCTCCACAGGGCCAGCTCTCACGAGTCGGGCCGAGAGTCGCTGCAGACACCCGCAGGACATCAGAAGGGAGATGCGGCAGGAGCAGCCAGGTGCGGCTGCGCCAGGCTGGAGGGCAGGCACCTTCAGGGAGCAGCTGCCGTGGGGCGGAGTGTGCGCTCAGCGCAAAGCAGCTGGGCCCTGGCGGCAGCTTTGGGGGATGCCCAGGGCTGGGGGTGCTCCCATCAGTCAGTCCCACCAAGACACTGCCTGGACCTTCCGAGGGCGCAGCTCCAGGACCCTCAGCTCAAGAGACCACTGAAGAGCCGCCGGCACTACCCGCACAAGTGCCTTCATTGGCCCAACTGGAGGTGAGAAAGTTCCCCCTCAACTCCGTCTCCCCCATTACGAGAGCCACGGCCAAGGCCAAGGCCGTCTTCCTAAGGCAGCCTGTGGTGAGCACCTGGAGGCCGGAGAACAAAGTCTTTATAAAAGTTTTTATTATGTAGCATTTCACTCCGCTTCCCGCGAGTCTTCCAGACTGTGGAGTACATCCCACAGGGGGACAGGGGACAGTTCAGTCCGTGACCATCCCACAGCAAGGCGCACGCGGCAATGCGCCGAGAAGCTGTGGGTGGCCTGGTGCGGCCCCTGCCCGCCATCCTCCCGCACGCCTGGACAGCGGTGCGGCGGGCGGAGGGCGGGAGGCAGACGGCCAGTGTCCTTCCCTCCGGCCTCACCGGGCGCCTCGCTCTGAACGACAGCAAAGGCGCCGGGGGAGGCTCCCAGCACCTGCCACCAGCCTCCGCACGGGGCACTGCTTCTGGAACCTTCTGCACAGGACTTGGCAGACTCCGAGGGCAAGAGTGGACAGGGAAGTCAGGTCATCTGGGCTGCGGCAGGGACTGGTGAGCCCACTGAGCAGTGACCAGCCGGGCCAGGCACCACCGAGGGCAGGAGGGCCGGGCCAGGCACCACCGAGGGCAGGAGGGTCGAGCCAGGCACACACGGGAGCCTGGGTGTTATCCCGGGCAGGAGGAAGCTGGTTTTTAGGGCCTCAGCCCTGTTTTATGGCATACTGGTCAGGCCTCCGCCTGCAGCCATGCATCCCATACTGGTGCTGGTTCGTGTGCAGGCTGCTCCAGGTCCCGCTCTCTGCTAACGGACCCAGGCAGGGCAGCGGAGGAACCCAAGGTTCCCTGAGCCCAGGTGGGAGACCCGAGGACGAGTGTCAGTCACGTGTCAAGGGTCCCGGGATACCCGGGGAGGAAGGGGCACAGCAGCTGGACAGCCGAGCCCTCCAGTGAGCCCTCCAAACACCTTGGCCGGGAACGCGGCTGTCGTAAACAAGGGAGTTACCCATTTCACAGAGAGGGAACACGAGGCCAGGCAAGGGAGGAGCCCCAACCACGTCCCCCACCCCATCCTAGACGCTCGCCGGCCGAGCCGGGATTCGAACCTCCCGCCTGCTGAGGAGCCTGCGCGCCGGCGCCGCCCGTTGCCCTGGAAACGCCCCCTGCGCACGCGCGCGCGCCACGCGGCGGAATACGGTGAGGCCCGGCCGCCCGCGAGAGGCCGCCCGCGGATCCCTCCGCCGCGCCGCGCCCGCGCGCTCGAGCCGGCTTCCCGCGCGCCCCACCCCCACCCGCCGCGCGCCCCAGCCCCCAGCCCGCTCACCTGCCTCCCGCGTCTCCATGGCAACGCCCCCACCGCGGGGGAAAAAAAAAGCCTCGGGCTCTTCGGGGCCCCGTCCCGCGCCGACCGCGAAGGCGAGGCGCCCCCCCGGCGCTTCGCTGTCTATTTTTATTTTTTTCGGAAAAGAGCCGGCGAGCTTATGGCGAATCTGCGGCATCCAACATGGCGGATGCAGTCTTCGCCCTCCTCCCCGCGGGGCGCTGACGTCGACGTCGCGGACGTCCGCCTGCGCGGGTCACCGCCCCCAGCGCGTCCGGGCCACGCCGGCGGCGGCGCATGCGCGCTGCGGGCTGCTCCCGGAGGGCGGGTCTCCCGCTGGTGCCGGGGTGCGGGCGTGCGGCTCTCGGGCCGGGCTCGCGTGCGGCGGCGTCAGCTTTTCTTCCTTGTGGGCTGGGTCCGTGCACCCGGGTGGCGGCAGCCCGGGTCTCCCTCCGAGGCCTTCTCGGCGCGTGCGCTCGCGCGTAGCCCCCCGGCTCGGAGCGCACCTTGCCCGGGCTGGAGCCCCGGCTCCCGGCCACCCTCTGCGGGCCTGTCCGGGGGCGCTGGGCGGCCGTGTCCCCGAGCCTCGGAGTCCCCGTGGGCTCCGTGCGTAGCTCCTGCTGGCCCCGGGTACCGGGCCCGACTGCTGCGTACCGAATACACGAACCTGTTTCTTACACTTCAGTCCTATTTAACAGCGCAGGAAAACATTTTCATTTATACTACTCAAGCACATACAACTTACACTGTTTTGAAATTGGTGAACTGCGAATGCTACAGCTAAGGTGCAGACGTGGCACCAAACAAAAATAAGGGCAAGCGTGCCCCAAGCGACTTGGGTTTATTTTTATTATTCCCCTGAAATGCTGGCGTGTGCATGTTCCAAGGGCTTTCCTGGAATAGCCCGGGTTGTGCTCATCCTGCGGGGGTTCTCACAGCCCCGAGCCCTGCCTGTGCCTTCCCAGGGCAGCCCCGGGCTCGGGGCCATATGCCCTGCGTCTTACCCCGCCAGGGCCTTGCAGAGCCTGCCTCCTTCCAAGCCGTGCCAGTGGGCCCAGAATACGAAAGGCTAGGGGTGGCTGGGGGGATGAGGGGCACCCCGGCTTTCTGCCTCCTGCGCCCTCCTCAGCTGGCAGCAGCACAGCGCTCTGTGGTGACTGTAACCAGGTGAAGCCACTGGCCAGGACCCCTCTGTGCTAGCTGCCTTGCACCTGAAGTCAGCGCTTGGAGCCAAGGTGTCCTTAGAAGACCCCAAAGTCGCCTGGTCTCTTCAATGTGTGTGCTGAGCTCCTTGGTTTCATCTTTACAGCGGTTGTCACTTTCCCAGGAGAGGGAGGAAAGGTGGCTTTCAGTGACCAGCCCAGTCGAGGGCCAGCTGTGGCGCCCCCTCTCCAGCCCAGCTCCTCCCGTGTTTCCACATTGCCTTCTGGGGTGTGCCCTGCTGCCCACCTCCCAAACAGCCAGTGTACTTACCGAGCTGGGCGTGCGGGAGACGGGCCCATAAGCGTCTCGCTTGGCAATGAACTGCACAGTCGAGCTTTTTCTCTTATGGCCATAATAGTTACAGTAACCACGATTTTCCCGGGAAGGGATTCCTGTGTGGGAACTAGACTTGCTCTGGGATGCTCACATTGGTTTTGTGCCTGGTTGCTGTCCTGGACAGCCGCATGGCCGTGTGCCGTATTGAGTGCGTGCACTGACTTATCCTGGATGTTGAGATCAAAATGATGTTTGCCAACGGAACAGTTAGAGATGTGTCTAAAGCCCAGTGGGCCCAGAATACGAAAGGCTAGGGGTGGCTGGGGGGATGAGGGGCACCCTGGCTTTCTGCCTCCTGCGCCCTCCTCAGCTGGCAGCAGCACAGCGCTCTGTGGTGACTGTAACCAGGTGAAGCCACTGGCCAGGCCCCCTCTGTGCTAGTCATGTGACTGATCTGCATGATTGCACGTCTTTGTGTCCCTAATTTTACAGTTCTATTTTTTTTAAAGATGGCTTTTTTCTTAAAGATTTACTAATAAGTAAATCTGTTAGAAAGGCAGATGTACAGAGAGAAGGAAATGTGCCCATTGATTCACTCCCCAGGCAGTCGCAACAGCCAGAGATGAGCCAATCCAAAGCCAGGAGCCTCTTGCGGGTCTCCCACGCAGGTGCAGGGTCCCAAGGCTGTGAGCAATCCTGTACTGCTTGGCAGGACATGAACCAGTGCCCATATGGGATCCCGGCACATGCAAGCAGAGTCTTTCGCCACTAGGCTACCATGCCAGGCCCTATAATTCTGCCTAATTGCTTTCTGACACGTGGCATTTACCTGAACGCAATGATATCATTCCACAATCCATGGTATGATTTCTTGAAAGCAGATTTTGAAAAAAGGATATCTATTGGTGGCCTCGAAATAGTGGAGACCAAGGCACGCCACGACTAGAACATTCGCAGGGGAAGGACCATTGACACTGCACAAGAGTCAGTTACATTGCATGGAGACTGCCTTGTGGCCCAGCGGGGAGCACCAACGTTGCAACACTGTGACAGCAGCATCCCCTAGGGCTGCCGGCTTGAGCCAGTGGAGATCTAATCCGGCTCCGTGTTAATGGCCTGGGAGAGCAGCAGAAGAGGCCCAAGTCCGAGGCAAGACCTGCAGAAAGCCCTGGCTCTGGCCCTGGGCTTGCCTAGCACTAGCCGTTGCTGCCATCTGGAGAGTGAACCAAGGGCAGGAAGCTCTCGCGCCCTCTGTCCGTGGATCTAATTTGCAAAATAAATAAATAAACTGAAAAGTGAACAGAGGAGAAAAGCATGTTAGAACTGTGACGGCAATGATATCTTTTCTGCCTGTCTCCTCCGAAGCCATCTAGCACGGTCCCTTCATGTGTCTGCCCACGGCACAGCTGGGAATACCCTCAGCTCCCGAATGCTGGTCTCAAGGGTGCCCGTTGTTCGCAGTAGCCAGCCTGCTTAAAAAACAGAAAAAGTGAATATATGCACAAAAATATATGCACATAACTAATTACAAAGCTAGTTCCAATTCAAAGAAGGCTTTAAACAGATTATTTTAATAATCAGGTAGAGCTTGGCAAACACAGGATTCCGTTTCTCTGGCAGTTCTGGACATCTGCATGTGATGGTCTATTTTTGCAGTTTGAGCAAGGCAGGCTGGTTATCAGGAGCGTGTCAAATATATATATATTTAAGATTCATTTATTGTGGGCCCGGCGGCATGGCCTAGAGGCTAAAGTCCTCGCCTTGAACGCGCTTGGATCCCATATGGGCGCCAGTTCTAATCCCGGCAGCTCCACTTCCCATCCAGCTCCCTGCTTGTGGCCTGGGAAAGCAGTTGAGGACGACCCAAAGCTGTGGGACCCTGCACCAGTGTGGGAGACCCGGAAGAAGTTCCTGGATCCTGGCTTTGGATCAGCATAGCATCAGCTGTTGCGCTCACTTGGGGAGTGAATCATTGGACAGAAGATCTTCCTCTGTCTCTCCTCCTCTCTGTGTATCTGACTTTGTAATAAAAATAAATAAATCTTTTTTTAAAAAAGGGGTTCATTTATTGTTATTGGAAAAGCAGATCAGGTTTATGGAGAGAAGGAGAGACAGAAAGAAAGAACTTCCATTTGCTGGTTCACTCCCCAAATGGGCCATCCTCTACTTCTTTACCAGCTGTAAGCAAGGAGCAGGGCCCGGCATGATAGCCTAGCAGCTAAAGTCCTCACCTTGAACGCACTGGGATCCCATATGGGCACCAGTTCTGTGTTTTTTTTTTTTTTTTAATCTTTACATAGTTGATTAGGACACAAAGGGTCGAGAGCTACAGGAAAGTGGGTAGGACTATTGTTTGCACATTATTGCTTTTTTTTCTATATCTAGGGTAAAAGGGGAGATAAAGGGAGAATTCCCAACCGGCCTCCCACCCATCCCAGGTCCCCGATGTGGGGCATGCTCCAAGGGTCCTGCTCAAGTGGTTTTGATAATTCAATAGTTATGAATTGCTGCCAATCTCGCCATTCCAAGCACGATGAAATCTCCCCAGAATCCACTGGCTGACATAGCCCACCTTAGAGGCTCCCTTTGCCCACATTTTCACTTACCAGAACATGGCTGGGGTAGTTGATCGATTTGGTCTGTCCTCTTGTTCTCTGTCGTGGTGCCAGGTATCCTCTGCAAGTTCCGATGGACCGCCATACCCTCCATGTGCAGCTGGTCCTGTCCACTGCTCCGTCTGAGCCTCTGAGGAAGCTCAGTTTTGACAACTGCACTCCATGGCAGACCATGGAACCTGCACCTCTCTTCATGGTTGGGGGTCTGTGTTCGGCAGTTCAGCTGGGGAGATCCCCAAAGAAACTCTGTCTGAGGGGATCCCAGACCAGATTCCTACGTGTACTTGCCAGTACAGGACCGGCACAATCTGTCACCCCAATCAACTGGTGGTTGCAATTGCTGAGTCAGTTCTGTTTCCAGCCCTGTCTTCCACACAAACCAACGGGTGTTGCAGTCCAGCCTGATTCTGCCCAGCACACACTCAGCCCTCACACAAAACAGTGGGAGCTGCAGCCTAGTAAGAATGAATGGGCCCTGATTCTAACCTCGGCAGTCCGACTTCCAGTCCAGCTCCCTGCCTGTGGCCTGGGAAAGCAGTCGAGGACGGCCCAAAGCCTTGAGACCCTGCACCTGTGTAGGAGACCCAGAAGAGGCTCCAGGCTCCTGGCTTCGGATTGGCTCAGCTCCATTGTGGCTGCTTGGGGAGTGAAATAACAGACAGAAGATCTTCATCTCTGTATATCTGACTTTGTGATCAAAATGAAAATAAATCTTTTTTTTTAAGATTTATTCGTTTTTATTACAAAGTCAGACATACAGAGAGGAGGAGAGAGAGAGGAAGATCTTCCATCCCATGATTAATATTATCTTAAAAAAATAAAATTAGAAGTGTTGCAGCTGGGACACAAAGCAGCGCCCATATGGGATCCTGGTGATTGCAAGGTGAAGACTTAGTCACTGAGCCATGGCGTCGGGCCTTTTTTTTTTTTTTTAAAGACATCAAAGATTTCTACTCGGAGTAGGAACTGTGCCAAGAACCAGAGAGGCAGGTGGCA